CCCCCCCATGGAATTTTCGGCGTATAATTTTCCCGGAACTTCTTCTCGAGTGGCATATTTATGGAGGTAGACTCTGGGGAGTTTGTCAAGACGAGGTTTGCTTTCGGTCAGTTTTTCCGGAAGATTGTCCACCGTTCTGTGAAGGCTGTCGTTGTTGGCACTTGTCTTCTGGGTGTTTGCCGAAAGGGAACGCGCCCGGCCTGCAGTTTTTTTTATGTTTTTGTAGCGGAAGCAGCCTTGGGTTTGTTTGCTTCGCTTGTTTTTTCGTGGTGGCTTTTTCCGTAGGGTGTAGCCCGCGACTGGCCACCGGGGAGGAGTGTCTTGTGATGTAACGCCTCCATCTCTTCCTGAAAGCACCTGTGGCGCATGGTTGAATCAAATCCGCTGTTGCTTAAGCCATCTGCTCTGGTTCAAGCGAGGCACTTGTGCAGCGGAGTGCGGCTCGATTATTGTTCTAATTTTTACTTCCAACAAGCGCGAGTCGCGTTTGTTTTGCACGTGAGGAGCTAACGTTCCGCCTTTGTGGCTTGCGTGCGCGTTGCCGGGGGGGCTCGCGGCGTGTACTATTCCCTATCTGTGCCATACCTACCCCAGCGTGGAGGTGGCTGAACTCGGTAACTCCCCTGGGCTACGCGTTCGAGGCCCTCCTGATCAACGAGTTTAGCGACGCCGACGGAAGAAGACCCTACCGGATAGAAGGCAGCGTGAGTTTTTGCCTCTTGCTCCCTGTCTCTCTATCTGTCTCTGCCTGTCTATCTTCTTTCTTCTCTCGTCTCTCTTCTCTCTTCTCTCTCTTTTTTCTCTCTGAAATCTTGCGCCGGCCGCTTCTCCATTCGACGCCGGGCACTGTCCGTGTATTGGTGTATACGTGGGACGTTGTGGTAGAACAACCCGTCGTTGCGTTCAGGAGGTCTATGTTCGTTGGGGGGTAGATTGTGATTGGTCAAGCCGAACGTCCAGACACTCGTAAGATACCGTTAGCGTCGGAGAGATGGCACCCCCGTGTTAGCTCATTCGTTTAGCCAATTTTTCCACAAGCAGGAGGGTGCGAACACCAACCGATACCTCTCAGAAAAGCCCTCGACGAGATGTTTCCAAAACTGCCCTTTTCGGCGGTGGTACACCCCTGGATGCCATCTCTCCGACGCTTACGGTATGCCTGATCGTGAAGGCGCTCCTTGGTTGATGGGCTTTACACGGCGGCAACCCGTAGACACTAGCAGTGTTCACTAGATCGAAGACAGCTTCTGTCTCCTGGTGAACCATATCAATATTTGCGTGGGTTTCGAGGGGTTTTGCCGTTTGCGGTTTCATGATGTTACGCCGAAAGGAGGGCGTTCTCTTGTTGCCCCCCCCCCCCTCTCCCCTCTCTCTCTTCCTTCTCTGGCAGCACTGTTCGCCAGACTTGCCGGTGATCATGCCACTGGGACCGCAGATCCTCGCCACGTTCTCCTTCTCGACCGAGCGGTCGACCATGCACAAAGACATGCTGGTGCTGGTGTCTCTGGCTCTGGGGTTGTCGGTGTCGAGCTTGCTCGTGTTCTTCCTGGCCACGAGGTGGGGACGACGAGACGTTGGTTGCTAGGCAACGATTTCCCTGTTTTGCATGCTTTTGAGAGGGTTGTTTCTTGACTTTTTCCTGCTGCTGCTACTTGTCTCTCCTGTGCTGTTTTATCTGCGGCGAGAGGCACGGGGTACTCTTTGGAGTTTTCCCTCCACCCATTTTGTGTGTCTGCATGGAAGTTTTCGCTCTTTGTGCAAAGGCAGAGATATTCCCTCGTCCTGCACTCTCTGTTTTCTGCACCGATGCGCGGCACGTATGTTGTCGAAAAATCGCCTGGCGGTGACTTCTTAGGCGCTTCCAATGCTCCGTTTGTCCGCGTACACTTCGTCGCCCATGGAAACCGTCCTATTCACAACGGCGACGGACGCGGGGGGCTACCGCCCCCCCTCGTCCTCCAATTGAGATGTGTGCATCCGAAACGGTAAATGTGAGGTAGCAGTTGCAGGCTTCAAACGCAGTACCAAGTGGGGCGGCACGGTGGCTGACGTGGTGTACAGCAGAAATATCTGGTAAGATGGAGTTTCAACGTCGGAAGAAGGCGCTGACGTCCTGTTTCCTTCTCGCAAAGGGTGGCCTTGAAGGTCTTGGACCAAGCGCGCTTGGCGCAGATGAGACGAAGGGGTAGGTTGTCCCAGTCCTTGACGAGCGAATCGACCTCAGTCATGTCCCCGGTGCAGCCCTCTTGAATGTCGTCGACGGGGGAAGAATCAGGCTCGAAGCAGATGCAAGTTTTCTTTTCATTTTTTCCGTTCCACCTCCCGCTCCCTCGACCCACACACCCTCTCCACTGCCGCTCCGGCCTCCTTCCCTGCCTCTCTTCAACAACTGCCACTGCTCCGTCACACACGCCATACAAACCATGCCTACGTCGAGGATTTCTCGTCTGACGACGACGCCGACGACATCAATGCCGCCACCCATACCAAATGGTCAGACGTGGCGCGAAGAGGGCCCATCGTTGTCTTCCGCGGTGTTATGTTTAGTATGGGTAGTGGCTTTGGTGTCGCCATCATCTGACGAGAAGTTCGTCGAGGTGTCGGGCCGTTTCTTGGACATGGTCTGTATTGCGTGTGCGACGGAGCGGCGGTGGGGGAAGGGAGTGCGGCGGCGGTGGAGAGGGAGTGTGGCTCGGAGTGAGGGAAGTGGAACGGAAAAACAAAAAAAGAAAACTTGCCACTGCTTCGAGCTTGACTCTTCCCCCGTCCACGATATCGAAGCGGGCTGCACCGGAGGCATGACTGAGGGCGATTTGCTCGTCAAGTACATCCTTCGGGAGCAGGAAACAGTATGTCAGCGCTTCCTTCCGACTTCGAAGCTGCATCTTTCCAGTTCTTTCTGCTGTACACCACCTCGACCACCTCAGCCACCGGTCGCCCCTGTAGCATATCTATGTAGTTGGTATCCTCGAAAACCTTATAGTAGCCAGGGTCAGGGATTCAAACCCCGGCGTTGGCGGGATTTTCTTGCAAAGTAGTATCGGCGGCGGCTACGGGTCTCGGAGGAGCCGCGGGCTGAGAGTTTTTCTCTCGCTTCCGTTCCTGGCCTGGGTGGAAAGCGCTAGTTCGTGTGCACGCAGAGGGACGAGAATGCTGCACTCTTTCTGGCATCAAGTATCGAAGACAATGCACGGCAAGAGGGGCGGGTGAAGGGGGCCTCAGGGAGAGGAACCTTCTGTGTGACGAAGGGTTGGAGAAAACGGCACAAATGGTGTTAAGGCTGAAGTGAACGCAAAAAGAAAAGCAAAAATGAGTCTGAGTTCAACGCTGCAGCAGAGTACAGACTGGCCCTTCGCGTAGACAGTGAGCAATGAGGTGGCGTCGCCCCGCGGAGGGGCAGGCCGAACGGCGCGCTCTGCGGCGCCAGCCGCGATATGACGTTATCGTGTCGATTTGAGACTAGGCCTGCTTCCGCCGCTTCGCTCTCAGACGCCGATGTGAGGCCTGAGGGCCGCCGTCGAGGCTGAGCTAATGACCCCTTCCGTCATGCCCCCGGTCCTGTTCGCGTACCGCCCTCCTTCTCAGGACCAAGCCACTAGTGATCGACTCCTACCCACCTTCGGGGCAAACGAGGCCTTCCCGCCGCGGGAACACCCGTACCGGCAACAACTCCTCGACGGCCGCAAGACACGGTAACCCCGTGCTATCCTCTGACCACGGTATTACCGCCGCCGACCCACCCGCCGACGACATGCAACCCCAGCCACGAGGACCGATGACCGTTTCGACCGCCACCGGTATGGTGGGGGAAGAGGAGCTTGCCTTGGAAAGCGGGCAGCGGGAGGGGAGCGCTGGCGCCGCCGGGGCGACCCGTGGTGGGGCTCGGACCGTTTCGTGGAACGTTCCGGAAGCTCTCGGCGGGCCGCCACCGCCGGCCGCGGCGGCGGCGTCGGGGAGTAGGCGGTTTTTGTCGCAGGGGGGTTGGGGCGACAGCTTCCGCCGCAAGCGGCGCAGAAGCAGCGATCGGATCAACGCGCGGACGGGGGCGGAGCTGGAGACGGCCTCGCCGCCGCCCCCGCCGCTGCTGCTGTCGTGGGAAGGGCTGCGGTACGAGATAGCCGTCCCGCGGAGAAGTAGCTCCTGGTTCGGCAAGGGGGACGCCGCCACGACTGCCGCTCCTTCTCCTCCTCCTCCTGCCGCCGGCGGCGGCGCACGGCGGGGTGAAGAAGGACGCCTCCTGGTGTTGGACTCCGTGTCAGGGTTTGCGGGGCCGACGAGAAGTGCCGGCGGGAGGCGCGCCGTCGTCGTCGCCGCCGGCGGAGCCGCCGCCGCACGCACCTCAGGGTCGGTGGAGGCCGGTCGCCGCTCGGCCGTGTCTGCTACTACGGTTGAGGGGGCTCCTCCGCAAGAAGGGGGGGGGCACGGGAACGAGGGTGGGGGGTGGGGGGGCACCGTGACTGCCATCATGGGGCCCTCCGGCGCGGGCAAGACCTCCTTGCTCAACGCGCTGGCCGGTCGGCTGCAGGATGTCCAGCGGGAGGCCTCCGGCGGTGGGAGGAGGAGGAGGCCGGGGTTGACCGGCGCCGTGCGGCTGAACGGGCTGGCCGCCGGCCCGGCTGAGGTCCGGGCGCTATCGGCGTACGTGACCCAGGAGGACGTGCTGCCAGAGACGCTCACGTGCTACGAGCACCTAATGTTCCACGCCCAGCTTAGGTTGCCCGGGCACACGACGCTTGCGAGACGGCACGACAGGGTTGCGGAGGTGGGGGAGGCAAGCGGTGATGATGCCAGGAGTTGTTGGCTTCACCGCCCAAGCTGCGGGGTCGTGATTGGGAGAGGTTTCGTTTGTGTTTTGAGATTTGTATCGAAGCACGCAGCGCTCTGTCCGGGGGACCACTCGACAGACACGTTTTGGAGTGATTGTTTTTGTTCTTGTGGGACATATCCATGATGGTCTCGCAAAAACACGGAGCGACTTGTGTGTTATGTGCTGCAACGCTGTCCGATCAGCCAAGAATCAACCCGGCAAATTGAATCGAAACCTTACATGACGGGGGAGGAGCACCAAAACGCCGCTCTGTTTCTGAACCCCTACATGACGTGCAGGTTTTGGAGCAGCTTGGACTCGCAGGCATCCGCGACTCGCGCATCGGGGGCGGGCTTTCGAGGGGGATATCGGGGGGAGAGAAACGACGTCTCTCGATTGGCACGGAGCTCCTAACCCGCCCCGCTCTTCTCTTCCTAGACGAACCTACCACCGGCTTAGGTGAGCAGGAGCATGTTCGAATGCGCTTGTTGCGCCGCATGTTTTGGCACGAAAATCGACCAAGAATATCTCGCAGCCGATACGTTCTTTGACATACTTGGGTGCCGATCGTATTTGGCCGATCGTCATTCTTATCCGCTCTTTTGGTCTACACATATGCGTACACATTTTTGTGTGCGTTCCCAGCTCTCGATTCAGTGGCGCGCGAATCCCCCCGTGGCATCGAGAGTGTGTTCATAGGGCCTCTCTCTCTCATGATTTCAGGGCCGAGTGTTGCACGCCCCTACCGCGGGAATCACCGTGTCAACCCGACAACACACCATACCGCAAACGCTTCATTCCATGTTTTTCTTCTTTCGTGTCTTGGCACTCTCAAACCCTCCGCCCCCCCGCGGTTTTTTCGCGAAGCGCCACACGCAACGCCCTGCTGATGATGGCCACGCCTTGCCAGACCCACACGCTTCCGGACACGCCCCCCCCCCCCCCCCCCCCCCCCCCCCCCCCCCCCCCCCCCCCCCCCCCCC